GCAAACGATTCATGATAACGGCTAAAACTACCGTTTAACTTTACAAGAAATAGTATTATCGTTAAATTAAGTGTTAATTTACCTGAGTTTGTGTAATTTCACTGCTGTCAAATCTTTGCGTGAAATACGATATGAGTTTAGACTTGATCTGCCAGACGCACAAAAGAGTAAACAAAATGACTAGCTACAGACTACTACTATTTTCTTCTACATTAAGTTATCTATTTTTATTACAATATAAACTGTAATTGATATATTAAATTGAGTTATCTCCCATTATTACACTGTAATCAATAATTGATATCAAAAATTGAGTAATTTCCCCATAATACAATATAAATTGTATTGATATATAAATTTGAATTATCTCCCATTTTTACAATATAAACTGTAACTGATATGTAAAATTGAGTTATCTCCAATTATTACAATATAAACTTTAATTGAATCCAGAAATCTCGTTGAAAGCTTTCCAACATGTCGAATGAAAGCCTGACCAATTCTCAATGTCTCCTAAAAAATTCATTATATGATGACCATGAAAATTTTGAGCTACTAAAATTGAAAGTAGACTACTACCGGTTATACTCATCCGCTAGAGTTTGGCACTTCACAAAACGACTATTTTTAGAATTAGCCTTCCGCCTTTAAGTCTCTCATCATCTCACCAAATCTGAAAGATAATGCAATTTCAGACATCAAATTCCAAATCTAGACCAAATTTTACCCAAAAATAGGCAGGCAAAAACCCCAAAAGGGAGAGAGAAAGAAGATTTCTAAAAATAGCCTGGACTACATTCCTATACAATCATTTGCATAAAATGTTTTAGTGGAGTGAGTCCTATATATTAGATTAAGTTATCTCCCTCTATTACAATATAAACTGTAATTGATATATAAAATTGAGTTATCTCCCTTTATTACAATATAAACTGTAATTGATATATAAATTAAGTTATCTACCTTTATTACAATATAAACTGTAATTGATATTTACAAATTACAAAAATTGAGTTACCTCCTTTATTACAATATAAATTGTAATTGATTTCAAAAATTGAGTAATTTCCCTTTATTACAATATAAACTGTAATTGATATAAAAATTTGAGTTATCGCCCATTATTACAATATAAACTGTAATTGATATATAAAATTGAGTTATCCCCATTATTACAATATAATGTATAATTGATATCAAAAATTTAGTTATTTCCCTTTATTACAATTTAAACGGTAATTGATATCAAATTAAGTTATCTTCAATTATTACAATATAAACTGTAATTTTTTCATAAAATTGATGTATCTCCCTTTATTACAATATAATGTGTAATTGATATTAAATTAAGTTATCTCCCGTTATTACAATATAAACTGTAATTGATATATAGAATTGAGTTATCTACCTTTTTTACAATGTAAACTGTAATAGATATATAAAATTGAATTATCTCTCATTATTACACTATAATCTATAATTGATATCAAAAATTGAGTTATTTCCCTTTATTACAATTTAAACTGTAATTGATATACAGAATTGAATTACCTCCCTTTATTACAACATAAACTGTAATTGATATATAAAATTGAGTTATCTCCCATTAATACAATATAATGAATAATTGATATCAAAAATCAAGTTATTTCCCTTTATTACAATTTAAACTGTAATTGATATACAGAATTAAATTACCTCCCTTTATTACAACATAAAATGTAAATTGAGTTATCTCCAATTATTATAATATAAACTGTAATTGATATAAAAATTGAGTTATCTCCGATTATTATAATATAAACTGTAATTTTTTGATAAAATTGAGTTATCTCCCTTTATTACAATATAAATTGTAATTGATATTAAATAGATTGATCTCCCTCTATTACAATATAAATTGTAATTGATATATAAAATTGAGTTATCTCCCTTTATTACCATATAAACTGTAATTGATATTTAAATTAAGTTATCTACCTTTATTGCAATATAAACTGTAATTGATATTTACAAATTACAAAAATTGAGTTACTTCCCTTTATTACTATATAAACTGTAATTGATATTAAATTGAGTTATCTCCCATTATTATACTATAAACTTTAATTGATATTTAGAGTTATCTCCCATTATTACATTATAAACTGTAATCAATATTAAATTGAGTTATCTCCCTTTGTTACAATATAAACTGTAATTGAAATATAAAATTGAGTTATCTCCCTTTATTATATTATAAACTGTAATTGATGTATTAAATTGAGTTATCTCCCTTTATTATAATATTATTTTTAAATTGATATATAGTTATCTCCCATTATTACAATATAAACTGTAATTGATATATAAAATTGAGTTATCTCCCTTTATTATAATAAAAACTGTAATTGATATATTAAATTGAGTTATCTCCCATTATTATGATATTATTGATATTTAAATTGAGCTAATCCCTTTATTACAATATAAACTGTAATTGATATCAAAAATTGAGTAATTTCCCTTTATTACAATATAAACTGTAATTGATATATAAATTTGAGTTGTCTCCCATTATTATAGTATAAACTGTAGTTGAAATATAAAATTGAGTTATCTCCCATCATTACAATATAAACTGTAATTGATTTGTAAAATTGAGTTATCTCCCATTATTAAAATATAAACTGTAATTGATATATAAAATTCAGTTATCTCACATTATTACAATATAAACAGTAATTGATATATAAAATTGAATTAACTCCCTTTATTACAACATAAACTGTAATTGATATATAAAATTGAATTATCTCCCATTATTACAATATAAACTCTAATTGATATATAAAATTAAGTTATCTCCCATTATTACAATATGAACTGTAATTGATATATAAAAATGAGTTATCTCCCATTATTACAATATACTGTAATTGATTGACAAAATTGAGTTATCAACCTTTATTACAATTTAAACTGTGATTGATTCATAAAATTGAGTTATCTCCCTTTATTACATTATAAACATTAATTGATATAAAATTAAGTTATCTCCCATTATTACAATATAAACTGTAATTGTTACATAAAATTAAGTTATCTACATTTAATGCAATAAAAACTGTAATTGATAAATAAAATTGAGTTATCTCCCATTATTACAATATAAACTGAAATGGATATCAAAATTGAGTTATTTCCTGTATTACAATTAAACTGTAATTGATATACAGAATTGAATTACCTCCCTTTATTACAACATAAACTGTAATTGATAAATAAAATTGAGTTATCTCCCATTATTACAATATAAACTGTAATTGATTCATTGAATTGAGTTATCTCCCTTTATTACAATATAAACTGAAATTGATATCAAAATTGAGTTATTTCCTGTATTACAATTAAACTGTAATTGATATACAGAATTGAATTACCTCCCTTTATTACAACATAAACTGTAATTGAATATAAGACTGAGTTATCTCCCATTATTACAATATAAACTGTAATTGATTGATGAAATTGAGTTATCAACCTTTATTACAATATCAACTGTCATTGATTCATAAAATTGAGTTATCTCCCTTTATTACATCATAAACTGTAATTGATATATAGAGTTATCTCCCATTAATACAATATAAAATGTAATTGATATTAAATTGATTTATCTCCCTTTTATTACAATATCAACTGTAATTTATATTAATTTGAGTTATCTCCCATTATTATACTAAAAATTTTTTATGATATATAGAGTTATCTTCCATTATTACATGTTAAACTGTAAATAATATTAAATTGAGTTATCTCCTTTTGTTACAATATAAACTGTAGTTGATATCTAAAATTGAGTTATCTCCCATTATTACAATATAAACTGACATTGATGTATAAAATTATTGTAATTGACATATAAAATTGAGTTATCTCCCTTTATTACAATATAAACTGTAATTGACATAAAATTGAGTTATCTCCCCTTATATCAATATAAACTATAATTAATATTAAATTGTGTTATCTCCCTTTTATTACAATATAAACATTAATTGATATATAGAGTTATGTTCCATTATTACAATATAAACTGTAATTGATATATAAAATTGCGTTATCTTTCTTTTTTACAATCTAAACTGTAATTCATATGTAGAGTTATCTCCCATTTTAACAATATAAGCTGTAATTGATATTAAATTGAGTTATCTCCCTTTATTACAATACAAACTGTAATTGATATATAAATTTATCTTTTTACAATATAAACTGTAATTGATATTAATTTGGGTTATCTCCCTTTATTAAAATATAAATTGTAATTGATATTAATTTGAGTTATCTCCCTTTTATTACAATATAAACTTTAATTGATATATAGAGTTATCTTCCATTATTACAACATAAACTGTTAATGATATTAAATTGAGTTATCTCCCTTAATTACAATATACACTGTTAATGATATTAAATTGAGTTATTTCCTATTATTACAATATAAACTGTAATTGATTTTAAATTGAGTTATCTCCAATTATTACACTATAAAGTTTAATTGATATATAGAGTTTCCTCACATTATCACAATATAAACTGTAATTGATATTAAATTGAATTATCTCCCATTTATTACAATATAAACTGTAATTGATATTAAATTGAGCTATATCCCATTATTACAATATAAACTGTTACTGATATTAATAAGAGTTATCTCCCTTTGTTACAATGTAAACTGTAATTGGTATAAAATTGAGTTATCTCCCATAATTGCAATATAAACTTTAATTGGTGTATAGAGTTATCTCACATTATTACAATACAAACTGTAATTGATATTAAATTGAGTTATCTCCCATTATTACAGTATAAACTGTACTTGAT